GGACAACAGGACTCATAAGAGGACAGCAGGGCTTGTATGAGGACAACAGGACTTGTAAGAGGATAGAATGACTTGTAAGAGGACAACGGGACTCATAAGAGGACAACAGGACTCATAAGAGGACAACAGGACTTGTATGAGGACAGAAGGACTTGTATGAGGACAGAAGGGTAGAGGTGAGATGTGCTGTAAGAATGACAATAGTTTCACGGTGGAGGTGGGACTGCAACAAGGATCAGCACTCTGAGCTCCATCTTATTTGCTCTGGTGATGGACAGAATAACAGGTGAGATCAGGCAGGAATCTTTGTGGACTATGATGTTTGCAGAAGTGAGGACAAAAGGAGCAGACCTCATGTATAAAGGGTCCATTTTCCATGGAAATGGGGAGTGTGTAAATAGGCAAAGAAGAGAGTCTAGGTCTCATTTTTAAAATGTGGAACATATGATTTATATTTTTCAAGAACATTTGCATGTCTTTTTTGCAGAAAAGGAGCTTCAAAGGATTCGAGTTGATTTTGTGGAAAGGATGTCACCAGAAATGTTGAATCAGCTCCTTGATGGCCTAGAAGCAGATGGTGTCTTCAATAGCCTGGAAAAAGAGGCAATAGCTGAGAAGAACCAAACCACAGCTGATAGGGCCCGCAATCTTATCGATGATGTAAGAAAAAAAGGAGAAAAGGCCTGTTTACTGATGATAGAACACTTTCACAACAAAAATTCTACACTTGCCTCTCATCTAAGTTTGCCATTTCGTCAATTTGCTTTAAAAGGTAAGGCCGCCTTTTTGTATAATGACTTCTTTGTTTGGTTTAATTAATATCTTATTATAGTATACCATGCTATTTTAGCTTTTCATATACCAAAATGCTCAGCTTACTATGAACTATAATTAGATTTTTGCAACTTTTAAATATTTGCATATCGTTCCAGAGTTGTTTCCATTGATATGAATGGAAATCTTTTCAAATCCTTTAAAGAACGTGTTATTTGAAAGTTAATTGTTTCAATAAAGTTTTGTTGAATTTACTTGATATTTCTTCCCATTGTTTGGTTTTGTGTTATATTTTTGTGACCCCCTTGGTGAAAATGCCTGCTCAGTCCAGAGGGAGCTTTTTTTCTGGAGACCACAAACCAAGACTCAGAGGCTTTTGTTGTTGCAGTGGAACTACTGCCAATGGAACCAACATTCTAGACCAGATTTATACCAGCAGTTTTGTGTCTACCGAGCACTGCCCTCCTTCTCCAACTTACATTGCTCAGTTCCACTTACTTCAAGCTCCAGTCCTCCACTACTGACCTGACTTTAGGATTATGCACAGTATCTTATATCTTCTCAGGACTGTGCTCTTCTGGACAGAGACCTCTGAGGTTAAGGTTGTGAGGGATCTGTTGGAGCCACTCTTACAGTTCAGGGGTCTCAGCACCAAGTGCTCTGATGACCACTGGAAATACTGGGACCTTGGCCCTTCACAATCTCTTTTTTATCTACAGCTTCTTGTACTCCTTCTTCCTGATGTTACAATTGCTACATCTGTCACCACTGCCTTGTGAGGCTTGTCCACCATGACAATAACAAAGTCCCACAATATAGTAGCCCTACCATTCTCTATCACCCTTCTTGGACCTTGACTGTTGGGCCTACAGCCCATAATTAGCACAGATATTCTGTACACTATTCCACTATTATGCTGAACTTTCTTAGGGGCAGACATGCCAGATAACATTAATGTGGATAGAAAAGAACAAGGTGCACTGTGTTCCTAGTCCAAATGTGGATAACCAACCTAAAGCCAGGTCTGGGGTAGTGCCTGGTGACCAGGCCTATGTCAGTGTTGTTCACAATTAAGGGAAGAATGGAGTCTGAAACTGACAGATGGATTGATGCAGCTTCTGCAATACGGCAGACTCTGTGTCTTGTGTAGAAGAGGGAACTGACCTGCAAGTTGAAGCTCACTGTTTATCACTCGTTCTACTTGATCTATAGTTAGACTTTGGGTAGTTATCTAAAGACTGAGATTGTGAATACAAATGGTTAAATTGAGTTTTTTTTCACATAGTAAATGTAAATGGACTGAACTTATAGAGCGCTTTATCAAGTCCCTCCGGACCCCAAAGTGCTTTACACTAACAGACATTCACCCATTCACACTCACACTCACACACTGATGATGGCAAACTACACTGTAGCCACAGCTGCCCTGGGGCATACTGACAGAAGCAAGGCTGCCATGCACCGGCACCACTGGACCCTCTGACCACCATCTGTAGGCAAGGCGGGTGAAGTGTCCAATGACACAACGACTGAGACGGCTGGACGGGGGATCGAACTGGTGACCTTTTGGTTCCAGGACAACTTCCCTAACCACTCCACCACAGCCGCCCAGTCCATAGTAGGACTCTCCCTTAAAGATAGTGTGAGAAATTCAGTTTTCTGGGAGTGATGTTGCATAAAGTAGGTCATGCTGTCACATTCAGAGGAACCACTTGTGGTGGTTTTGGGCATCTGGTAAGGATGCTGCCTGAACGCCTCCCTAGGGAGGTGTATTCCTAGCATGTCCACCTGGGAGGAGACCACAAGAAAAAACCCTGGACACACTAGACAAATTATGTCTCTTGGCTGGCCTTGGAATACCTTGGGGTCCTCCCAGAAAAGCTTGACAAGGTGGCTATAGAAAGATGTTTGGGCCTCCCTGCTCAAGCTGTTGGTCTTGCAACTCAGCTTTAAAACTAGTGGGAAAATAAATGAGGGATGTTTCTCGGGCATCTTTGCACAGCCTGATTTTGGGAACTGTTTAGTATGGTAGACCACAGTTTCTTTTGATCTTGTGCTGATGACCTGATCTTGTTTCTGCTATGATTACTGCCTCTGTGTGTGTAATCCACCCCTCTTTAGCCACTGATAAGGTATCTTCTGCTGCTCTTCTAAGGTAGTTTCAGGTACTTCCTCAAACTTCTAGAGGAATATGTCATATATGGTTTTATCTTTTCATGAGAATTCTTCAGACGCACACATCAGTACAGCCCTGCCTCTGAAAGATTTACTTTGCCTCCATATAGTTGTAGGATATCTCCTATATGTTGTGACCACCTAATACTTAATTTGCATCTATTTGTTTTGTTAGATTTTACCCTCCGACTTATAATTTAACCCCTCCACCCACTCAAGTCAGATACATTTTCAAGGGACATCAGTGGGGGATACTGTCAGAATTCTGTTTATGGTTTCTTATTGGTAGTTCTTTGAATTTATTTTTAATTTATTCTTATCATGGTCATGTTCTCTCTTAATGTTCGTTTTATAAAATAACAGAAATTGTATATTTTGTTCTGTTTTTCAGAGACTCTTAACAAGTGTCATTCTAAACTCAAGTCTAAATTAAAGAAGAAGTTCAAGTGTGTGTTTGAGGGAATTGCTATAGCAGGAAAATCAGCCTTCCTAAATCAGATCTACACAGATCTCCACATCACAGAGGGAGACATCGGAGAGGTTGATAATGAACATGAGGTCAGACTGATTGAATCAGCATCCAGGAAACCACACAGACCAGAAATACCAATAAAAAAAGAAGACATCTTTAAACTCCGACCTGGAAAAGATGAACCAATCAGAACAGTCCTGACAAAGGGAGTGGCTGGCATTGGGAAAACAGTCTTAACACAGAAGCTCACTTTGGACTGGGCTGAAGACAAAGCCAACCAGGACATCCACTTAACATTTCCATTCACTTTCAGAGAGCTGAATACATTGAAAGAGGAAAAGTTCAGCTTGGTGGAACTTCTTCATCACTTCTTTAATGAAGCCAAAGAAATTTGGAACTTTGAAGCGTACCAGGTTTTGTTAATCTTTGATGGCCTGGATGAGTGTCGACCTCCCCTGGATTTCAGCAAGGCTAAAATTGTAACTGACCCAAAACAATCTATGTCAGTGGATGTGCTGCTGATAAACCTCATCAGGGGGAAACTGCTTCCCTCTGCTCGTCTCTGGATAACCACAAGACCTGCAGCAGCCAGTCAGATACCTGCTCAGTATGTTGGCATGGTGACAGAGGTTAGGGGATTCACTGATGCACAAAAGGAGGTTTACTTCAGAAAGAGGTTCAAAAACGAGGCACTGGCCAGCAGGATCATCTCCCATATCAAGACCTCACGAAGCCTCCACATCATGTGCCACATCCCAGTCTTCTGCTGGATCACTGCTACAGTTCTGGAGGATGTCTTGAAAACCAAAGAGGGAGGAGAGCTGCCCAGCACCCTGACTGAGATGTATATTCAGTTCCTGGTGGTTCAGACCAAAGTCAAGACCATTAAATATGATGGAGGAGCTGAGACAGATTCACATTGGAATCCAGAGAGCAGGAAGATGATTGAGTCTCTGGGAAAACTGTCATTCAAGCAGCTGCAGAAAGGAAACCTGATCTTCTATGAATCAGACCTGACAGAGTGTGGCATTGATGTCAAAGAAGCCTCAGTGTACTCAGGAGTGTTCACAGAGGCCTTTAAGGAAGAGAGAGGAGGGCTGTACCAGAACAAGGTGTTCTCCTTCATCCATCTGAGTGTTCAGGAGTTTCTGGCTGCTCTTCATGTCCATTTGACCTTCATCAATTCTGGGGTCAATTCGATGGGAAGGAGACTGCAAATACCATCAAGAAATAGAACAAACCTTTTCAAGCTCCATCGTAGAGCAATAAACAAGGCCTTATGTAGTCCAAATGGACACCTGGACTTGTTCCTCCGGTTCCTCCTGGGTCTTTCACTGCAGACCAATCAGAGTCGCCTACGAGGCCTGCTGACACAGACAGGAAGTAGCTCACAGACCAATCAGGAAACAGTCCAGTACATCAAGATGAAGATCAGTGAGAATCAGTCTGCAGAGAAAATCATCAATCTGTTCCACTGTCTGAATGAACTGAATGATCGTTCTCTAGTGGAGGACATCCAACAATCTCTGAGTTCAGGAAGTCTCTCCACAGATAAACTGTCTCCTGCTCAGTGGTCAGCTCTGGCTTTCATCTTACTGTCATCTGAAAAGGATCTGAATGAGTTTGACCTGAAGAAGTATTCTACTCAAAAGGAGATCCTTCTGAGGCTGCTGCCAGTTCTCAAAGCCTCCAAAAAAGCTCTGTAAGTACAGAAAATGTAAATACATAATAAATAATCTACGAAATACATTAACAGTGTAATGCAAAATGTAATGTAATGCATGTTGTATTCCTTGTGTCAAAGACTGGCTTAAAGGTCTGTCTGCTGACAAACATAAAAAAAACAGAATTCTCTGTAAAGCATTGTAGTAAGGCTTTAAAAGAGAAGGATGTGCTTGAATGACTATAAATGTTTTGAGACACTAGTTGTTTTAATACAAAGATATACTTTGGCCTCATCTGTGGTTAAAATAGCTTAGCTAGCTTAGATTAGCTCATTAGTCTTGTTGTAAGCAAACTTTGCTTCTTCAAACTGAGGTCGTACAGAAAACTATCTGCAAAAGGTAAATTATTATTCTGCTAAAACACAGAAATACACTTCAAAATAGCCAAATGTGTCTTTCACAATACTTGTGTAGATGGAGAGTAGCAAGAAGCTCAATGTCCCCTGCCTGTACATGAGTTTCTGGGGCCCCACCGTGGAGTCAGGCCTTGGGAAGGGGCTTGATGGCAAGTGCCTGCTGACCAGACATCTACCCATGGAGTCTGGTCACCAGGCAAGTTACCGTATTTTTCGGACTATAAGCCGCACCCGCCATTTTTTAAAAAAACCCGCAAACATTAGTATATAAGCCACACCGGACTATAAGCCGCAACCCCAACACAAAAAAACAGTACACCCAAAATGGTCATCAAAAACGTGAATTCAACATCAAAACATAAAAAGCAAACCTTTARGAATTAAAGTTCGGAGGAATACGGTTCATTTAACTGACCTTATTTTGGTAGTTTTCTTAAACAGTTTCTGGTCCAACAAAACATCTCATTCATCGTCCTCCGGTGCACTGAAACCATCGAAGTCCTCCTCTTCAGTGTCAGAGTTAAACAAGCTGAGAAAAGCTGCGTCACACAGCGGTATCTGTTGTCCTCCCGGGGTAATGCTGGCTCTGAAGCTGTGGTGTCCTCTTCACGTAGCAGTCCAGCCTTTCGGAACCCATTGGTGATGGTGGACTCGTTCACTCTGCTCCACGCTGTTAGGATCCACTGGCAGACATCAGGAAATGTCGCTCTTCGCATTCGGCCAGTTTTTGTGAATGATTTATCCCCGTCAGTCATCCAAGTCTCCCATTCAGCCCTGAGTGCTGCTTTAAATGCACGATTCACACTGATGTCCAGAGGTTGCAAAAACTTTGTTGGACCTCCAGGAATAACAGCAGGAATTGAGTTTGTTTTCTTGATGGTGCTTTCACCTTTATCCATGATGTGGGCCCGCATACTGTCCAATATCGTGCCTGTCGAAGATCCGTCGTGTCTGCTACTAGCTAAAACAAAATGGCGCTACACCTCCGGCTAAGCTGGCAGTATGGTCGCTCAGCTGTCGACTGGTCGACGCATCATCACGTGGTTGTTCGGCATTTGTTTTCGCACTGAACTTCCATAGTTCCCCCGAGACACCCCGGGCCTAGCTGCTGGGAAACCCCTCCCACTCCAGCATACATCACTGCATGGGATTCCTTCCTGGGGGAGTGCAATACAGGAAAAAAGTCCGCAGCTCTACTCGATGTTGTTTATCCACAAACTGGTCCTGGATTAAGCTCCAAAGTTTTTATCAGTCAGATTCCACCATGAAAAATGTCTGTTTTATCCCCTTTTATGAGTTTTTGGCCATTGACTATCTTTAAATTGCTGCTCCCTGGTACAACAGTCGGTTCTGAAAGCGATCGCTTTTTTTCTTCTTTTTTTCCTTTCTTTTTTTGAAGCGAGTGGTTGAAGCAAATGCAGTGTAAGAGCCCCCACCTCCGGCTAAGAGCCCCCACCTCCGCTAAAGAGCACCCACCTCTGGCTAAAGAGCCCCCTGGTGGCTGAAGAAAAAAATCCACGTATAAGCCGCACTGGACTATAAGCCGCATGGTTCAATGTTCAGGAAAAAAGTCGCGGCTTATAGTCTGAAAAATACGTTACATAGGTTTGCCGTCCTGTGAGTTCACCATAAGCACAAGAGACAACATGAGTTAGGTTCATGGTGCCATGAGTGGCAGCTGTGGATGGTAGTCATCGTTTGCCCATTACAAATAATGTGTTTGAACATAAGGGTGTCCATGTGTGAACATTCTACTAGGATGCAATTCAAAGAAATACTTTTTAGTAATCATCTAATCTTTGGCTGTATGTTTTGGACACTTGAATGAAGAGAAGAGCTGAGTTGTCAACTGGTCACCACCTACAGTAGTAGTGAGTTGGGTCAGACTGAGTGGCAAGATGCCGGAGAGACCAGGCTGACCCACACAAGTGGTGAGGGTTTGCAGGCAGAAGAGTCTTCAGAAGGTTCTTCGTCTCCCATCTCTGAAAAAGGTTCAAACACTTTCCAGTGGAGGTGGAAACACTGAGTCTGAGTGAGCCAACTTCTATTCCTCAACTCTCATGGCACTCTTTCTTCATCTGGGGCCACAATGTTGTCTGTGCTGCTTGTGGCAATCATTTTTAAACCCAGTCATGGAATCTGGGTGAGGGAGGCTGTCAAGCTGAAGAGCATTTTGTTATCTGGAAAGACTTTATAGGCAGCTGAATGGTATTAGCAATCTAAGAGGGCTTCAGCCCTGGCTGTTGCAGAGGAAAAAGCTTGGATGTGGAAGGACTTCAGTGAGGCCTTAGCTTGAGACTGTTCATTGGCTTCAATGTGGCTTTATCAACACTTTTGGCAATACTGGAAGTAACTTTTTCACTTTTTATGGAAGTACTTTTTCACATTGTTTCTGTTTGCCAGGTCCAAGAAAGATCTGGCACATTTTCAGGTGGCTGGGACATGATAGGATGCTGTGGATCTCAGTCAGTAATGTTCTTGGTAGGTGAAAAGTATACTTTGATGACCTCAGTCATACCAGCAGCAGCTCTGCAGTGGCAGAGCTCCGTTGGTCGACCAAATCCACTCTGACTTCTTTAGATTTCTAGATGTGGCTGGACTGTCTTGGTTGATGCACCATTTCAACATTGCGTGGATATCAGGGACAGTGACACTGGGTTGGCAGACTGGGGTCTGGTTCCCCTCTTCAAAATGGGGAATGTGATGTGTTCCAATTATTTCACTCACTTTAGTCTACCTTGTAAGGTCTATTCAGAGTTGCTGAAGAAGTGAGTTCAGTTGAAGATCAAACCTCCGATTCAGGAGAAATAATCTGGGTTCCATCTTGCTTTGGAACAATGGGCCTCATGCAAGAACATGTTCGTATTCTTATCCTAAATTTCTCCTACTTTTGTTCGTACAAAGGGTTCGTACGAACATGTCACGTCAGATTCAACAAACACTTCTATCTTCAGGAAACGTGCGTAAATGAGCTGCGTAATTT